CTGGAGACATGGCTCAGAGGTTAAGAGCACTGACTGCTCTTCCAGGGGTCCTGAGTTCAATTCCCAGCAACCACATGGTGGCTCACAACCATCTGTAACGAGATCTGATGCCCTCTTCTGGCCTGCAGGCATACATGCTGTATACATAATAAATAAATAAATCTAAAAAAAGAAAGAGAGAGAGAGAGAGAGAGAAAGGAAAAGGAAAAAGAATATAGATATGAGGTAGATCATTGAGTCTACTCTGAGAAAAAAAAAGATAAAGAAATAAGATAAATGGGTAGATCATTGAATCTACTCTAAAAAGAAAAAAGGGAAGATATAAAAATGACAAAAGGTAGATTATTGAATCTGCTATGAAAAGAAAAAAGAATATGGATATGATAAGATAAAAAGGCCAATTATTAAAAAATGGTGAGTGCCACCATTTTCTAGCCTCTGTATCTAGTGGCTGTTCTGTTCTCTGACCCCAGATAAGTTTATTAGGGTGCACAATATTTTGGGGAACACAATACTACTACATATTCTAGGAGGGGTCACCTTAAGTAACTGGGGTGGCCCTTAAGGGGATAACAATTTTAAAAAGGAACTACTTGCTTTAAATAGGATAAGTAATGAAAATTTTTGTCTGAGTTTATCAAATGTTACTGGACTGGACATTGTTATATATTAATGAAGGTTTTTTTTTTGTCTGAATCTGTCAAATGTTAATGGACTAAACATCGTTAATGTAATTCTTGACTATATATTGTATATACTTATTGGACATAGTTTTTCTTGTATTAGTTATAAGCTTAAAAGCTTTTTTAATTTTAGACAAAAAAAGGGGGGAATGTGGTGGTTTTGTGTTCCCCAAAATATTGTGCAGGCTAATAAACTTATCTGGGGTCAGAGAACAGAACAGCCACAATATTAAACATAGAGGTTAGGCAGTGGTAGTACATGACTTTAATCCTAGCATTCCAGAGGCAGAAATTCCTCTGGATCTCTATGTGTTCAAGGATACAGCCAAGCTTGGTGACTCACGCCTTTAATCCCAGAAAGTGAGCCTTTACTCCCAGGGAGTGATGGCAGAAAGCAGAAAGATATATAAGGCATGAAGACCAGAAACTAGAAGCATTTGGCTGGTTAAGCATTCAGGCTGCATTTGAGAAGCCGTTCAGCTGAGATTCATTTGGATAAGGACTCAGAGCCTTCCAGTCTGAGGAAACAGGATCAGCTGAGGAATTGGCGAGGTGAGATAACTGTGGCTTGTTCTGTTTCTCTGATCTTCCAGCGTTCACCCCAATACCTGGCTCCGGGTTTGTTTTTATTAATAAGAACTTTTAAGATTCCTGCTACAAGAATATACCTCTTAAACTTTTGTCACCTTCCGGCAGTAACATTCTGCAGAAACGTCTGAGGCATGTGGACTGCTGGGAGACTCCTAAAATCCAAGCTATCATAAGAGCCTTCCTTCTAGACAAGACTCAAATGTTTCTATACATTTTTGTTTGTTGTTTTTGAGACAGGGTTTCTCTGTGTAGCCCTGGCTGTGCTGGAACTCAGGGGCTCTGTAGACCTTGAGCTTCACGGCCTCTGTCACCTGAGTGCTGGGATTAAGGTGTGTACCATCACTGCCCGGTTAATGTTTGCATACGTTTAAACTGAAGCCGTGAACTTTCTGAAGCTGTGGCAGTCTCTGAGGCTGTGCAGAGAGCCTAGCCAAGTGTGTGAGCCCCAGGTCCGTTGGAGACTCCATCTTAAAAAATTAAAAACCAGCATGGACTCCTGAGGAACAGCATCGGAGACCTGCCTCTGGCTTCCATGCACATGTGCATTTGCACACCTGCAGTTTTCAAAAGCACCCTTATGCAAGGACACAGGCCCAGAAACTGTCCCACCGCAGAATGCCGCTTCAAACGGTCACCACTCTTTTTATTCATCGTTATGGCGAAGGGCTCCTGTTTCAAAACGGCTGATGCAACTCTTCTAGTTTTGTCTGTAATAACTTCCCCTTCCTCAGCCTTTTCATGCCCTTAGTTTACTATGGTCTGTGCACCCCATTGCAGTGTCTGTTCCCGTGGCAACTCTCTATTCTTCCCAAAGAATAGCAGTCTGTGGAGAATCTCTGGGTCTGGTTAGGTTGACAATGTTTTCTTATAAGCAAGATTTAAAAATTAATCATATCTCTTAAAAATCGTATTTTCTTATTCAACAGACACAGATCCTAAACATAGCATTTTAATATAGAAATATGCGGAGAAAATCATTAACTACTTGTTAGTATTTTAAACACTGATTACATATGATATACATATAATATATGTGAAACCTCTCTTTCTATGAACGTAACCATAAGTGCATATTTTAAAGGAAAGAAAACCCCGTGTATACTTGCTGCATAAATCAATTGTCTTTTCCTAAACACTTCGAATAAGTCAGTTACTTCCTGAAACATTGCTAAGGGTCACATAGCATGCATAGCTATCACAGGCTATCACAGGCTATCACAGGCTATCACAGGCTATCTGGTCTAATGTCAAGCACTTGTCTTTTCGTACAAACAACACTTTGAACATTTCTTGACACTGATTTAAAGTTTTATTTTTACATTTTATTTATTTACTCATTTTGTGTGTGTAGGGGGTTGCACACATACCACAGTAGAAGTCAGAGGGCAACCTGACTTCTCTTTCTACCACGTGGATCTCAGGAATCACACTGACGTCATCTGGCTTGGCAACAGGTCCGCCACTGGGCCATTCCACTCAGCCAGTTTTTGAGGCTAGTTTTTCTATCTAGTTAAAGTGCTGCACTCACACCATAAAAGATTTTTTTAGGGGCTAAAGAGTTGGCTCAGCAGTTAAGAGCACTGGCTGCTCTTTCAGAGGACCTGGGTTCAATTCCCAGCACCCACGTGGCAGCTCACAACCATCTCTAACTCCAGTTCCAGGGGATTCAAAGCAGTCTTCTGGCCTCCTCAGGCACTGCACGCACATGGTGCACAAGCACCCATTCAGACCAAACACCCTTACAGAAACTTAAAACTCAAACAGAAAAGCAAGGCAGCTGCCCCGGACGCACCCCTAATGGAACCCCTTGACCCTCTTCTGTACATGGACTGTGGTGTCTTCAACAGCACATCGGGCATGAGACTTGAGAAGGTCAGAGTGAGGTTGGGAGTTTTCAAGGATGTTTAGCTTAGAGGAGACAAAACTTTCATTTTTTGCTGTGGTGCTCAGGACTAACTCAGCACACACTTCAGACGCAGCTCTGAGGGCAGCTGTAGTAGCTCAGGCAGTTGCTGCAGGAGGAAGCAATTTTCCTATGTTGCAAAAACCAACAAAAAAACCAAAAACTTTATCAAATAAAGGATCACATGTGTGTAACTGATACTTGAAAGACGCAGGCACATGCTTACTGACTGGTGTGATGACTTGGGATGTGTGTCCTCTCTTACCATTCCCTGAAAGTGATGGATACCTTCATGCTAGCTTTCACAGCACACCCGTAAGCACAAGAACACTTTAGGTCAGATGTTCAGACATTTACGATTCATAACAGTAGCAAATTACAGTTATGAAGTAGCAATGAAAATAATGTTATGGCTAGGGTCACCACACATGAGGAGCTAGCTGTATTGAAGGCTTGCAGTGTTAGGAAGATCAAGAACTGCTGCTTTAGACGGTGTTGCATAAGAGTGAGTGCATTACTGCCATTACATTAATTTGCTTATTGATTTTATCATCATGATGATGATTTTGAGACAGAGTCTCACTATGTAGCCCAGCCTGCTTGCCAGCTCTTAGCAAGCATGGAATTACAGGCACCAGCCATTCTGCCTTCCTCCTTTAAAAAGTTAATTGATTTATTTTAGAAAAGGTTTAGGCTTACAAAAAAAAAAATCACAAGAATTCTCACACTTCACATCAGTTTCTATTATTGCTGTCATGTTTTTTTTTTTTTTTTTTTCAAGACAGGGTTTTTCTGTGTAGCACTGGCTGTCCTGGCTTGAACTCACAGATATCTGCCTGCCTCTGCCTCCTGAGTGCTGGAACTAAAGGCCTGTGCCACCACTGCCCGCCTTGTTATTGGCATCTTACATTGAAACAAAAGTAAAAAAAAAAAAAAAAAAAAGTGATACTGGTTACATTATTAACTCAAGTCCAGGTTTTGCTTGTTTTTTAAGGTTTTTTTTTTCCAATGTCCTTTTCATAACTGCTTTTTAAGATACTGAACAACCTGTTTGTACTCCATTTTATAATCGCACCCTGGGGAGGCTGAGGCAGGAGGACTGTCGTCAGGTCCAGGCCAGTGTGGGCTGCATAGCAAGACCCTATCTCAATAAAGTAATATTCATTAGTTTACAAGTTTATCTCCCTTGGGAGGAAGTGGCAACAGGTCAGAAGTTCAAGGCCAGCCTCCACAGCATAGTGGTTGGAGGCCATCCTGGGCTCCATGAGACCTGGGCTCAAAAAGAAAGTTAATTTGCACTGTTAGACACGATAGGCCTGGCGTGGTGGCACAGGCCTTTAATCCCAGTACTCGGGAGGCGAGCAGAGGCAGGGGGATGGATCACTGAGTTCGAGAACGGCAATGTCTACAGAGGGAATTCCAGGGCAGCCAGGGCTACACAGAGAAACCCTGTCTCAAAAAGTAAAATAAAATAAAATAAAATAAAATAAAATAAAATAAAATAAAATAAAATAAAATAAAATAAAAAAATAAAATAAAATAAAATAAAATAAAATAAAAAATAAAATAAAATAAAAAGGAAAGACGCAAAGCGCAAAGCGAGAGCACCGCCTGCCCGGGAGCCC